GGAAGGAAGGAAGGGGGAGGAGAGGGAAGAAGGAGGGAGGAAGATGGAAGGAGGGGGGAGGGAGGGAGGAGAAAGGAAAGAACGAGGGATGGAGGAAGGAAGGGATGGAGGAAGGAAGGAAGAGGAGGAGGGGGAAGGAAGGAAGGAAGGAAGGAAGCTCTTACCCAGCCAGGAGGCAGCGCTGTCTCCTTCCTGCCCGCCGCCCCCTCGCCACAGCCTGGGACTGCTCGCCATCGGGCGCTCCTCTGTTTCAGCTCCAGCTCTGCAAGCCGCGGCGGGGCGCCAGGCAGGGCGAAGGGGAACCGGGATCCGCAAGCCCTCCCCAGCTTTGCGCTCCTCAGTGCCGCTGCTCCCTTTGCCGAGGCAGCAGCCGCAGCACCGCCGCTGGCCAAAAGGAGCAGGCAGGGACCGCGACGGGAGGGCTGGGAGGGCTCCGGAGTACCGTCTGCGGCGCCCACCGGGCTGCCAAGGGTTAAAGCGCAAGGGCGGATTCCTAGAGGGGAAGAGGGGGCGGGGCTGGAGGTCCCTGCTCCCCCCCCCTTCTCATTGCTACCGCTACTTGGGTTAGAATAGAATAGAGCAGGGGTAGGCAACCGCAGCTGTTTTATGACTCGTGGACTTCAACTCCCAGAATTCCTGAGCCAGCAATGCTGAGGGGAAAGGGAGAGGTTTCCAAGCTGAGCCATGCTGGCTCAGGAATTCTGGGAGTTGAAGTCCACAAGTCATAAAAGAGCCAAGGTTGCCTACCCCTGGAATAGAGCTAGACGGGACCTTGGAGGTCTTCTAGTCCAACCCCCTGCTCAAGCAGGAGACCCTATAGCCTCCCCCCTCCCTCCTCTCAAAGACCTGGAGACCAAAACATATGAAGAATGGCTGCGGAGCTTGGGTTTGGCTAGTCCAGGGGTAGGCAACCTCGGCTCTTTTATGACTCATGGACTTCAACTCCCAGAATTCCTGAGTCAGTTATGCTGACTCAGGAATTCTGGGTGTTGAATTCCATGAGTCATAAAAGAGCGAGGTTGCCTACCCCTGGGCTAGTCTAAAGAAAAGCATTAATAGGGGAGACGTGATAGCAGTGTTCCAGTATTTGGGGGGCTGCCATAAGGCAGAGTGGGCCAGGTTGTTCACCAAAGCACCAGAGGGAAGGACGAGAAACAATGGTTGGAAACTGATCAAAGAGAGAAACAACCTGGAATTAAGGAGAAACTTCCTGACAGTGAGGAAAATCAACCAGTGGAACAGCCTGCCTCCAGAAATCGTGGGCGCTCCATCACTGGAGATTTTAAAGAAGAGACTGGACAATCACCTGTCTGAGATGGTATAGGTTCTCCTGCTTGAACAGGGGGCTGGACTAGAAGACCTCCAAGGTCCCTTTCTATTCTATTCTATTCTATTCTATTCTATTCTATTCTATTCTACTCTACTCTACTCTACTCTTATTCTACTCTATTTCTACTCTATTCTTTATTCTATTCTATTAATTCTATTCTATTCTGCTCTATTCTTATTCTATTCTATTTCTACTGTATTCTATTAATTCTATTCTACTCTACTCTTATTCTATTAATTCTATTCTATTCTATTCTATTCTATTCTATTCTATTCCTCCTTCCCTTGTTCCTCCCTAACTTTCTTCTTTCTCCTCCCTCCTCTCCCCCTTCCTTCCTTCCTTCCTTCCTTCCTTCCTTCCTTCCTTCCAGTGGCTCTCCAGTGTCTCCTTAAAAACCTTCAGGCACCCAGAACTACTGAAGGCAACTTGTTCCACTGCTTAATTGTTCTCACTCTTAGGAGGTTTCTCCCTAATGTTAACTTAAAGGTAATGTTAAAGGCAAGTTTGGTATTTCCCTTTGCGGTGCTGGGTTCGTGGGAAGAGGAGACCTGGGTTGCAGGGCTGAGCTGAGTACAA